TTCCATGATTCATTGTTTGTGTATAACACCCAGTGCTCCATGCAGTACGTGCCCTCTTTAATACCCATCACCAGGCTAACCCATTCCCCCACCCTGGCCCCTCTAGAACCCTCAGTTTGTTTCTGAAGTGTATAGTCTCTCATGGTTCGTCTCCCCCTCCGATTTCCCCCCGCTTCATTCTTCTCTTCCTGCTATCTTTATATATATATATATTTTGAAGAAATTTGAGGTTAGTCGAGAGTAAGAAGGGATGAGGAAGTAGTTTTATTTCTGTAATTCTTAGCCTATATCTTTGTCCATGGCTCCCTTTAGAAAAATTCTAATACGTTTATATATATGTATATATAATATAAATAATTGGGGATGTACCATAGACTGTCACACAAACTCCTGTTTCCCGTTTTAAATTGAGTGTATAGAGAATTTTAACATGTACAATCCTACCTTTTTCATGAGAATAGCCATCTAAAGTTTTACTTTTAGTTGTCCTGTTGAGGCAGCAAAACTTTGGACCGTCCCTACCATCATCCCACTATAAGTTTGGAAAAGATTGTTTTGAGTGAGGACTTTTGAAGGGTTAATTGAAAAGAGCTGTAAACAACAGAGAATAGAGAAGAAATTTAGATGTTTGCAGAAATACCTTGCCACTGCTATTTGATCCTAAAAGTTGGTGGCAGTGCCACTATTGTCCTCACTCTTGAGTTTTTCAAGAGGCAAGAGAATAACTTTAGTCAGTCTGATGTATTGCTTGATTTTATATAGGGTTGGTGAAAAGTAATGTCTTTCTCCTTCCATTCTAATCTCAGCCAGTAGAAAAAGACTTCTGATAACTAATCGAGCAACCAGGCAGTATCTGGTAAAGAGCCGATTCAAGTATATTACTAAGGTCTGTGATGGGAAAATGAACCTGTTTAGTCAAAAAAAGAACTAGTCAGGAAAATTGTAATAGTTTCTTCAGAAGTCATTCTGAAGATAGTTTGCAAGGTTAAGACTTTTGTTGTTGTCTTTGTTGCTAACATAATGATCCTAAATCAACTGTGTTGGATTTTTTATTAAAGCAGAATAGAGGGGCACCTGGGTGGCTCAGATGGTTGGGCGTCTGCCTTTGGCTCAGGTCATGATCTTAGGGTCCTGGGATCAAGCCCCGCATCGGGCTCCCTGCTTGGCGGGGAGCCTGCTTCTCCCTCTCCCTCTACTGTTCCCCTTGCTTGTGCTCTCTCTCTCTATCAAATAAATAAAATCTTAAAAAAAAAGCCAAAAAAATATAAAATAAAGCAGAATGGAAAATTGGCTCTGAGATGAGCTGAAAGCTCTGTGTCTTCCTATGTAAAGGGGGTAAATCAGTGTCTACCTAATTTCTTTAGGTATACCCTTAAAAACACAAAATTCACATAAATGTTTCAAGACATACATGGCATTTCTTTAGGTTTTGGGGGGTTTTTTTGTTTTGTTTTTTAAGATTTTATTAGCCTGAATGAGCTGGTGGAGAGGGAGAAGCAGACTCCCTGCTGAGCATAAAACCTGACGCAGTCTGATGACTGGTTCCATCCCAGGACCCAGATCATGACCTGAGCCAAAGTGAGACACTTAACCGACTGAGTCACCCAGGCGCCCCAGATCATTTCTTTGTTATCTAGCTTTCTGCGATTTTGAGTTCTACTTATTCTTAGTGGTAGAGAGGCAGCTGATAGTCTAGGAAAGAACAGTTGAAGAATCTAAAGACTTGATATTTAGCAAAGAAGTTTATGACCAAAGTCATGTAATCACAATTTTCTTATCCCTAAAATGGAAATTTACTAATAGAGTGGCTGTGAAGACTAAAGGAAACCTGAAAGATAAGAAATTGTATTTTAAGGGCGTCTGGTGGCTCAGTGGGTTAAGTGTCTGCTTTCAGCTCAGGTCATGATCCCTGGGTCCTGGGATCAAGCTTCACATTGGGTTTCTGCCCTTTCTCCCCTACTTGGGCTTTCTCTTTGTCTCTCTCTCTAATAGAATCTTAAAAAAAAAAATTAAAAATTGCATTATAAATGTAACAACGCCGAAATATTGTAACTATTAACAACCAATCAGTGAAGACCATGAGGATTCATTCCTGTTTATTACCAAGATTTCTTATATGCTAAATTTGCTGAAACTTACACTTCTGAATTAGTTTTATTAATCCTGTTAACACTGGCATATATTATTTTGTTGACACTTAGTAAAATTAGGGGACTATGGATACCCCACCAGTGCTCTTCCCAGAAAACTAACATCTGTAGCATAACTTGTTCTTTATGTGTGACAATAGTCTTAATCAACTAATGCATAGTGAAATGAACAATGGGTAGTGTTTGTTTCTAGACACCTTTTTATTTTATTTTTAACTCTTGTCTTCTAAAACATCTCAATTTACATAGATGTAGAAGAACAGATTGAGAGTTAAGCATCTGACTCTTGATTTCAGCTCAGGTACTGATCTCAGGGCTGGGAGATTGAGCCCCTCCTTTGGCTTCACACTGGGCGTGAAGCCGGCTTAAGATTCTCTCTCTTCCTCTCCCCTCACCCCCCAAAAAAGAGAATAGTGCACAGTAAAAGATAAAGACTGCTTTTATAAACATAATTCCAGTACCATTTATACTTAAAATAATATTTCTTAATCTCATCTGCTTTCCACAGACTTGATATTGTGGGTTATATTTTATTTATTTATTTTATAAAGATTTTATTTATTTGAGAGCGATAATAGCGCACATGAGAGGGGGGAGGGTCAGAGGGAGAAGCAGACTCCCTGCCGAGCAGGGTGCCCAATGCGGGACTCAATCCCGGGACTCCAGGATCATGACCTGAGCCAAAGGCAGTCGCCCAACCAACTGAGCCGCCCAGGCGCCCTGTGGGTTATATTTTAGCATGTTTCTCTGCCACCTGTATTTTCTCTGACCTGCTGGATAGATTTGCAGGCATGATAAGATTTCAGGTTCTATTTTCTTTTTTTTTCCCTTTAGGGATGAGGGAACATGAGGGGGTTGTGGGAAAGAAGAGAATACTTCATAAAGGCATTATGCATTTTAGTTATCATTAGCCTGATTTTCAACAAATTTTAAGAATGCAGGAAGCATTGGGTGTTGTATAAGGAGAAACACTTTAGAAATCAGGAAGTATGTAATTAACAGTGTTTATTTAAGAGAGTTAGAATGACCTGTATTTTTGTTTGGGGGTTGAGT